CTACCTCTGTGCCATCGATGCACGGACCTCTAAGAAGTAAACTCCTAAAATTTGCTCATCAATCCTAGTGGACAACCCTGTCAGTATTATTCTTATGTAATTCACAAGCATTGGTATCACTGCCCCTCTTTCAGTTAGTTAGAATAACTGTTCACACGAATAAATAAGCATTCCCATTTATGTATGAATCCACTTTCGAATTTCAAAGTAACCATAGATTCCTAAAGCTCATTGACAAGTGCTACTAAGGTGTCTGGAACTAAAATTAATTTTTATTTTTGTTAATTCATTTATAAAAAAGCCTTGGTTTCAAGATGTAATTTGTATTTCTAAGTCACTTAAATGTTTGTTAGTTCGCTTTCTACTGGTTAAATTCTTAAGACATCATTTCGTTTTTGGAAAAGACCGCTTTCTAACAGCACATAAACACATTGTCATGTTTTATTAGATGGCTGGAGGTAGTCAGGAGGAAACATTTGATCTAGATCTCGTGTTTGTTGGCACTTACCAGTCACCAAGGCGTGTCTCCAACCCTGAGGGAAGTTATGTCCTCTCTGAGATTTGAATTTGGGTTACTCAGTGCTGCAGTCAGAGACATTAATTATTGTTATTATTCCCTTGAGTTCCGAATGAAACACATGGCTTTCTATCTTCTGCCGTCCTCTTCAAGTGGGTCCACGATTATCCATAATCTCTCATCTCTTCCTCACACGACCTGCTCCATGTCACCCTAAGACAAACGACTCGTCAGTTCCTGTTGGGATTTTACTCAAGCGATGGCCTGGCGCGCTATGTCATTCGACGGCCTCCTCAATGTATGCCCAATCCATCTCGGCTCTTCTTCGATTTGTTCCCACAGTTTCTTGCTACTAATCCTTTCTGGCTATTTGACCTTCAGTATGGAGTAAGCGAAGGCAGTTGTTGATGAAAGTCTACAACTAGCTGTTGCAAATCCTTTTCGTTACACACAGTGCAAATTTCTGACTCGTGCAGAAGGACCGATTGGCTTCACATTGGTGTTGAAAATGCGAATGTTGTTCCAATGCTGAGCGTAGTGCAGAAGATTCTCAAATTGATTTCAGGTTGATGAAGGTATATCTTACCTTTCTGATTCTGCCTGACTTTGACATCTTTGTCCATTCTGTCGCCTGTAATTGAAATGATGCTGGCTGCCTTCCGATTACCTCTAACCATACCATAACAACAATTCAGACCATATACTATGATGATGAGTCAGCTAAATATGGTGGTCACATTGCACACTTGACTGATAGAATTCAGTATGCGCCAAACAAAGGACTAGACGACTGATATTAGTTACTAACTAGTAGCCAATAAAAGTATCAGTGTCAGTTCTACTGAACCACTGAAGTGAAAAACAAATTAGAAAAATAGTGTACAAATTCTAGACTCCATAGATTACAGAGTTATCTTTGCATCCAGCTGATAGTTTCCAACACTCAAATGAAACAGATATTCAAAGCTTTCTGGTTATCGACCAACACAGAGTAGATATCCTACATTTTCCAGTGTAGAACTTTTATAAATTATTTGTGCTGTTATTTTGATTTGACACCAGTAACTAGGGTGATATGTCTAGTCCCCTCATTGGTGCAGACTGAATTCTATCAGTCAGGTTTGCAATGTGGTCACCACCATCCTAGGTAGTTCGCCGTCACAATGCACATTGATTTGATGAAATTAGATAGTTGGAAGCAATCGGCCTCAGAGAGCCTCGCTTGACCTAGGTTTCCTGCTAGTTGGCACTCGTCAGCAAGGCGTATCTGCAACCTTGAAGGCACTCATGTCCCTTCTGAGATTCAAACCCGCGTGCAGTCAGAGACGTTACCACTGAGCTATTCGGGCTCAAATTGAACCCGATAGATGGTTATTTGTCTCTCAGCTCATAGGTAAAATAGCAACTCATTCACCTTAGAACACTGTCCACTAATGGTTCCAACCCCCCTTTGTCTGTCAGTGTAAAATGTTTGCACACATTAGTGATCTCTGAACTTTTAATAGTCCCTAGAATTTGTTTCATCATTATCTAACAAAATCCAGTATAGAGTTGTTATATTTCTTTCTCTGTTTAAACTATTCCGGATTCCAGTGTTCACATTTAGTCATTTTCATTTAAATGGTGAAACAAATCGATAGGTAATTTATTGATTTCTTAAAATAATTGATCAATAGATCTGTCTTCTTCTTTTCCCTTTTCCTTTCTTACTTTACACTATCCTGTTTGTATATGTCATTAGTGTAACAGTTACAATACATTTTAAAAGTAAATAAATAAATCACAGATATTTTGTGGTAGAGATATCACCTTAAAAATATCAATAAAATCATCTGGTTGCGTCAATTAAGTAAAATTGCTTCTGTTCCCTTCCTCCGGTGTGTTTTTTAAAATCCTAGTATAATAAACGGGTCAAGCTTAAGATTATGTAATCACGGATATTTGATCGTTTAGTTTATGAAAAATATTAGCAGTAGGTTTTTGTTAAAATTTAGTTAAAAATAATACATTGATTCATACACTATTGATTACATATTTGACATTGACTTTCTCGTCTATTTAAGGCAGAACATTTCTGCAGGCTCTTAACTATATAGCAGTAGGCACCCACCTTCAGGGTTCCAACCTATAATCTTTCATTTACAAGGTGAGCTCGTAGATCATTCAGCCGTTAGGATCCAATTCAGTGATGCATGAATTCCAACTTCAGACGATTAGCGCTATATATATATATATACATAACGCAACCACAAGCCAAAGTCACTGGTGATTAACTGACCTTGCCGCATAACCGGAATGTTCTGGGTTCGAACCCTAGCGCATGTGTGCAACTGGAGAGTCCTAAACTTGGCCAAAACGGCAGTGCAGTTCTGTCAGGTTTTCTAGCGGTTAGCTTATGATCATACCTGTAACTTATTAAATCCTTACAAACTAACACCTTGTAATTTTAACTATGCCACATAAGCATCGACCAGCTTACCGCACGCTTACTTTTAGTAGAGATCTTGCTATTGTGTCGTTAAAATCGCATTTTAAAGTTGTACTGTTGTATTTTGCTAGGCCTGTAGTTTGCTTTTATGACTGCTGTATATAAACGACTTATTTTTTAGAGTTCTAATGTAAAGCTACAATTGGTGAGCTTAGTTAACTAACTTGCCTATGAGAATAGATACTCATTCTGGATATAATAGAGATTAACGGCCCTGTCGTGCTGTGAATTAGCAACTGGAATTTAACTGATCATCGGATTCTGACCCTGATAGTTTGAGTGTGGTTGGATAATCTATAGCTTAAGTGTTTCAGTTCGGAACGAGGTGACTGTTTGGTCGTCTCTTATGTTGAATGCTTCTTTCAAGAAATGTTAGCTGGTAATGAAATAATCTGTGGAGGCTAGGCTTCCTTAGTTAAATGTAAGCATTTAAAATTGGTTAGAATACAAATATGAACAAAGCATAGTTATGCTCACTGAACAATTTTTTTATTCTACATTATTGTTTTGGTTTTATGAGGATTCTACTAATTTAAGCATCAGGAATCTCTTTTACATGAAAAGCCACTGAGAACCAAGAATGTCTGGTAACCACATTCACTTACAGATGACATGCATTGGTACACGTTCAAGTGATACGCCATTTGATAGAAATGATTAATTTTTGCTGATAACTCAGTGTTTACGATAGATTTCAACTTTCTATTTTTTGATAGGTGAGGAGGTAAAGTTAAACTTTAAGCACCAATGACTACTAATGGAGTGCGACCACACCAATGTCCTTGAAACACCCACTGAGAAAATTAGTGAAACCTGGCGAATAATGCTGTCATCAATAAAACAAATGCTCATTTGAGTGATATGCCATTAAATGGGATTTCTGGCAAGTTTCAGCTTAGGTTTGAGAAAGATTAAGTTACTATTTAAGACAAAGGCAAGTTAGGGTCAGGTTAACCTAATAAAAGCGATATTAGGGTTGGTTAGAGTTAGATTACAGTTAGTTTAGGGATATTTTCACGTTAGGGTTAGGTTCAGGAAAGATTAGGGTTACTTTTAGGGCTATAAGACCTAAATAATTACATGCACAGAATGTTTTTAAATAACCCTGTCGATATAAGAATAGAACTTGCGAACTGTGGTAGAGTGTAATTCCATTGAGGGTAAAATTTACTTAGATAAAGTCTCACAGTGTTATGCAGTAATATTTACTGATGACGTTTCGAGCACAATTTATTGTTCAGTAAATATTACTATATTACACTATGAGACTTTATCGAAAGAAATTTTACTCACAATGGAATTATACTCTGTTGATACTCCAACCTAGAACTGAAAGCTATTTTTATCATATTTGAGAGAAACGTTTCCTGTGTAACACTTTTATACACTTTTATGCATTTTTTTTTGATAAATACATGTATTCCATTAACAAAAATGCCTCCTTCACGTGACTGGTCACTTCGAAGTCATTGCCCAAATAAGAGAAACTTCTTCCGTCGATAATGAGTTGCCGTTGTTGTCAACTGATTGTCGCTAGTGACAGGCGACAGGACGAAGTTACTTAGAGTTCTGGTGAGAAGTCATGACTCAGGGGGTCAGCCTGGTTGACACTAAGGACAAATATTCCCCGATAACAGTGGTGGTTGGTCGCATTGAAATCACAAGTTACAATTCATGAGCTGACCATTGAGTTGCGGCTCAGTAATCTACCAGATTGCGTCATAGTCGGAAGTTTCTGTGTTTGAACCTTGGCAGAGGGTGGGTACTGATGATGAGTTCCAAGATAGGAAGAAACAGCTGTCCAGTTTTTTGTGGTGGTTTTGAATGCTTCCCTAAATAATATAAATTCGTGGCCAAACTTGAAACTAGTCAGATTCCTAAAAAACAGCTTTTGAAAGCTATCAGCTCTGTCTTCTTTATGAATAGTGACGCTTCATTACTCTTTGAAAATTGACATATTATCTTCTTTTTTCAATTGTTTTTCAACTTATCCAGGTAATGAGATAGAACAAACGACTGGTGATGACGAAAGAGGAGATGCTGGTGGTGGTGCAGGCGGTGCAGGTGGAGGTGGAGGTCCTGGTGGCGGTGGCGGGGATGCTGGCCTAGATGCTAGTCAACTGGCTGATGGTGATGCTGGAGTGAAACGTAAGAAGAGGCTAGGGTTTACCGGTGGTCTAGCAGTTCGTCCACAATATTCAACTAAAAAACAAGATTTTCAGGTAAATCTATGGAGTAACAAAGAATTTCGGTCAATTTATGTGATAAAATTTAAAAATTTGATAGCTAATTGATAGACATTTCTATACAAATACATGTAGTAATAAGTTACTGTACCTGAGAGTTTTGTACGTCAGTGAGTATCCTCGAAATTTTGAGCACCAGCTGAATTCAATTACGAAAACTGTTGAAAACACGGGTCAAAAAGAGAGTTCGTTAACCATTCAGCCACTGGAACTATGGCCAATGGCCCATGAATTCTAAATTCTGCCAATTTATTCACTAAGGGCTAATAAGTGTCATGTGTATAGGAGTAATAATAGGAAAACACAATAAGAAGTACTCTCAAGTTTTTATTGGATATCAGGAGGAGCTACACCGTCTGCCCCACTAAAATCATATAAAGGATGACTAGTGACCATTTCTTAAATTTTACCGTTCAACAACAGTACTTTCAATAGGCTGCTTAACGAAATACACTTTTTTTTACTTCCTCTTATCCAGTAATTGTCCGTCTTCTTCCGTTTTCGTTGTTGTTCTTGTTGTTGCTGTTATTATTCCTTTCCTTCATTACGTATATCTTCTTCATTGGAATTGATTCAGGGATGTTATTATGCATTCCATCTGGCTTTTATTTGTAAAAAAAGATTGCCTTCCATCTAAGAGAACGTAACCATACTTGAGGTAAAAAATCCCAATTATTTTGAATAAACTAAGCGCTGAGACAAAGTGACATTATTTTTAAGTATTGATGAACCGTTTAAGTACATATGAATTTTGTGGTGATAGTCTTTGAATTTGAGGCCCTTTATGACTTTATATGGTTGAACAACCTTATGATATACTCGCTGGCCTTGTAACGAGAAGGTCCAGGGTTCCAACCCCAATGAGGTGGGTGCTTACTGGTGAAGAGTCAAAAACTAGGACTAGACAGCCGTCCAGTACTCCCTGGTTTTCAATTGTTATCTAACTGATATTAACCCGTGATCAACTCTTCAAAACAAAGCTTCCGTTGTCAATTTCTCCCAACACCCTGTTACATTAGATTTTAAAACTGTCATCTTTTCCCATCATTCTATTGTATGGTTGCATGTAACTGCATGTAGTGCTATAGCTGAACTATTCTCCAGATTTCTTATCTTGTTGTCGGATTAACCCATCTAGATTTTGCTAGGTTTTTATGCTCGACTAGTCTGAGTGACCTTGTTCTGCTACTTTGACCTATGTATTTGACCTGACAATCACTGCAGGCAGGGTATTAGATAAACTAAATTGTTTTGTTTTAAGGGCTCCACAGTATTGAGCCTTTAACCGACAAAGTTTATTTTATTCCTGCCATTTTAAAAATTCTGAGTAAGGTTTTGGAGGTCTCTTCTTTGTATGGAAGAAGTACTGATGACTTGGATTCCTTATTTTTGGCGTTGTCATTATCCTGCATATCTTTAACATGCATGACGTCATTAATATTATTATTATCACTACCAGAGAGTGATAACAGATTTGTTTGTCGAATCAACTGTAAATACATGTAGTAGGAATGGTTCAACACCTGTCCAGCCAGATATCTGGAAGATTCTGCTACCCAACTATGAGAAATAGGAGAGAACAAAGAAAACTATAAAAGTGAAGTTTCGAAGTCGTGTGATTACAATTGATCTGATCATGAACCGCAATAAATTTTGTTCGAAACCTAGTCATCCAGTAAATAATACTGTTTTACTGACTGTGTGATACATCTAATAAACAAACTAATATGGAATTACTTACTATCACAGTGCCCAAGTTCTACACATATACCCTTAAGAAATATCTTTTATGGTGGAACGTGGAATTTTAGCAACCATATTGACTGTATTCTACAACATCCCAGCAAACATCATCCTATAGCCTGACAGTCTTTAGGCTAGATAGATTCCATGGTTAAAAGCAATATCTATGCAATGCCTCGCGGTTTTAATTTGGTGGATTGTGATTAGCGGTGGAATCCACGATGCTTGTTTCGTCGTATTTGGGACTCATCAACTGCAAATACCTGCAATCTTTAGTGAGTAATGGTGTCACCACTGAGACCTGAACTCTTTATACATCATTTCAAACGTCAAAGCGTTATCCAAAAGACCAACTGGGCCATGAGGGCCACCTCTGGTGCAACCTTAATTTTCTCGTTAACTGACTGAACCAAAATCCTTAGCTCTGAGTGGGTCACCTATAACGCCAACAGTCACCAGGGAATGCAGACACATCCAGATGACAAGTCTCGAATGGGATGAAATGTGCATTGTGAACTTCACTGCTATTCACCATCCATCAAATCACTTTAATTTAATTCTCAGGCATCTCTAAAGTGCCCTCACAAGCAGCCAACATGTCAACATAAAACTAATTATTTCAATCGAATCGATAAACGGTAAAATCGAAATTTAATTAAAGCTAACATCTTGGTTTTCTATATTTCTTCTAGTTGCTATTACTTCATAACGAACTAAAACTTTGAAATAAATCACACCTCCGATGAAACATTGAATTATGAGTTTATTGAATATAATTATTTAAGAGTTCAAAGATGATATTTACCTCAAAGGATTACATCATCTAATAAGTAGTTTGTGTTAATTTAGGGATTAAAGCTTTCTAATACTCCACAGATTATAAATATTGACTAACACTGTTATTTTTAAATGATTAAATCAGTTTAAAGAATTACCTCGTCAACAGCATTGAAAAGTTTAAGAAGTAGATTTTACACCCGCGATCGATCTTTTACGCTAGGGGTTTAAAGTCCAGTAGATTCTGTTGTACCGAACAAACTAAAATCTCCTGAAAAGTATATACATAAATATATATTCGATTTGGATCACCGATTGATTTCATTTAGAGAATCAGTGACTACATTAGGAAGTACAGGACAACTGTTTCGCCCTACTTTTAGATCCTTCAACAGTATACACCCTTGACCCAGCCAGGGATCCAAATATATATTGCTTGAATTGTTATTATGTGAGCATGATAGTTACGGAAGTAGTGTGTTTAAATTCTGAGTAACTTAAGTGAACGGGAAGCACTGTACCTAGATGTGGGCTGCGAATGCATTGGCAGTAAACATCTAATAATATTTGCCATCAGCCGTTTTACGGCGGAAGACTTCACTGAATATTTTGCAGGAAAGCAGTCAGTTGGTGAAACAATTTGTGTACATTAGAGCAAATTTAACCCTAAAACTAAGATCCATTTGACATCTATAATCTGTATGAATATTGACAACAGAAATTTGTAATGAGGGATTTTACTTATAACAGCACCATCTATATAGTCATACATGCATCATAATATACATAATATATACTTATATTGTGGTGAGAGCAGGCTACTAGCCTATTGGTAGACATTAATTTACGTCAATGTCTAGGTCACTAATATTGACGGTGAGAAAATATGAACAGGGCTGATTCAACAACCAATCACAGCAGACTTAACGTGGGCAAATATGATTCGCAGATATATAGCTTAACTTTCCCAGAAACCAGAAATAACCAATCAGAAGACTGTGTTTGTCCGCTTGAATAAGCTATAATAATGTACATGAAATATATATAAATACGTGCTGATTTCCTTATTTAAACGATCTGTTGCCGGCCCTTGTCTTCTGTTGTTACAATATCAGTAATACATCGTCCTTTATGGCTGCGAGTGAGAGATGGCCGTTGAAAGTGGAAGACATGAAAAACTGGCTAGCTACCTACGTTCGAACTCCCATGTTAGGTGGTATAACAGGGTAAGCAATGCTGAGGTTAATCGTTGAGTGATAAGTAAAGAGGAGAAATCAATAGAAGAGGCTGTGAAGTTACACATATTAAGATGGCTAGGACATGTGTTACACATGTCTAACCACTGCCTTCCTTGGCAATGGGCAATGTTAGCTGATATAGGGTCAGGTTGGAAAAGAGCAAGTGGTGGTCAAATCAAAACATGGCACCAGCCAATGAAATCCACAATAGTTAGTTTAAGCCACGTAGAAAGATGTAGACTTCTTGGTTGTGGTCCTCGAGACGGTGAATACCGATGTCTGGAGACAATTGGTGATATGACTTAAAATCGTTGCAATGGCTGGTGCAAATGCATCCACTCCTTGTGACTTATAATATCCAATAGAACTATATCGTTCTTCGATATTACTATTCTTTTTGCTTCAGATCTGTGCTTACTGTCTCTATTTTGCGTTTCTTTTTACTTTCTCCTCTGGCTTTGTGTGCTGAGGGAATTGTGGCGACTCGAACTGATGCACACCGGGTGCAAAGCAGTTCTGTGTTGAAACCATGCGGACAGACAGATATCCATAACTGAATACCAAACAGTTTTAGAATATTAGATAATTATCATACTCAAGTGTTAGTTTGTAGGGATTTGATTGGTTACAGGATTTCATCATGAGCTGACATTGGTTAGAGAATTGATTAGGGGAATGAAATTCTGAAACCAATCAAATCCCTACAAACCAACACTTGAATGTCGATGAGATGCTCACTAGCAACTTCCCCAATTCAGGTAGGCAGTTACCAGGGGTTCTAGTGAGAAATCGTGACCAGTAGAGTACACCAGGTCGAGTGTGAGGACAAATACTCGCCGAAGACATTGGCTAGTGGTCGCGCTATGTCGTAAATTGGCAGAAGTCAGAATTCAAGGACCATTGGATCGGGTCCCAGTGGCTTAATGGTATACGAGCTCGCCTTGTAACCAGAAGGTCCTGGGTTCAAACCCCTGTCGGTGGGTGCGTATCGATGAAGAGTCCCAAACTAGGTGGAAACAGTTGTCCAGTACTATCAGGTTCTCGAATGGTTCTCTAACTAATGTCAGTTCATGATGAAATATCATACTGTTCTTTGTTTCGTAATCCCATTTTAATGAGTTATAAGCAATCTTAGTAAGGAATAAACATATCTGTAAAGGTAATTAATAGTTGTGTAATATTCTATTTTTATTAAAATAATGAGAACTACTCAGAGTTGGTTGCTATTCCTTTTCTATGTCCAGAGATGTGTTGCGTATGAACAGTGTAGTATGAAGTATCGATTCAATCTCCCATTGTCAGCATTGAATCTACCCAATATATATATATATATATATATATATATATATATATATATGTATATATGGTTTTTGTGTAGCAGGGGACTTCTTACTTGTGCTTTGAAGTTGCAGTAGCAATTATAATTATTTTCATTTTTACAGGGTGAGATTTCCAGCCTTATGTCCAACCTGCTTTTTTTACCAAACTTACTAACAGATTAGCGAGGTTTAGACGTGCGTCAGTTGCGTATCAAACCCAAACCAAGTGTGTGTTATTGATGAGAATTCCACTACTAAACCACCACCAACGCGAATGTATGCGTCGGTGGCACAGTGGTTAGGACTGACGCCGACCATGCACATGGTCCGGGGTTCGAGCCCTCGCCGACGCACACCTGATATCTATGGTCGGCCTGCGAAACTTGGGCTACCGATATCCATGCTGAAAACTCCATACTTGCACCAAAAATACGGTGTGGAATCAAGCTGTAATCAAAAATAAAAATATGCCTACTGCTGCATAGTCTACTGGCAAAAATATCGCCAAAATTTACATTTTTTTTATAGTTGATCATTCAAAAGCACTGCAAAATATACGGTTGAAACTCATCTCACGTATCACTGTGTGTGTGTGGGTGTGTGTAATTGCATAAATTTCACGAAACACGGTAAAAGTTACTTAACCAACCTATTACCAGTACTACTACTACTCCAGCCTCCTTCTATGTGCCTGCAACAACAAGAACAAAACTAACTTTAGTTATGTTCTACACATACTTACAAAAAAACACCCGACAAACAGGTTTACACTTGTACACTGTAATCATTACCACATTTATCTGCTGAGCATGATACTGTTTTTTTTTATAAAAAGTTACACATACTCACTAGTGTAGGCATGTATACATGCCAAACTGTGCCATAAAGACAACTAGTGTTTATTCTTTTTTTTCTACTTTCTACGCTAAAATATCATTTATTATTATTATTATTATCACAACAACTATCATCTGTCCAAAGTAAACAAATGTGTGAAACAGAATACAACTTGAGAATAGCAAGCTGGTAAACACACACACACACATATATATAAATAATCTCTGACATTATGAGATTAGATCAGACAAAGAAATACTCTAAAGTCTGTGTATGTCTAGAGTTGATCTTTTGAAATTGTCTTTTCTTTTTTCTCTCTTTTACTTCAACTTTTGAACATCTTCTTTCTTTGTGTGTGTGTGTGTGTGTGTATGTGAAGATGGCGGGGCGGAGAGGGTGGGATCCAACATGTGTGTGGCGTTTGGCTCCATGTAACGTTTGTTCTATCCAATAGAAATGTAGTGATTTATTTATTTATTATGACTTATTATGAGATATCACTATTGTATCACAGCGACATTGGTGTTTATTTCACCCTTTTCACTTGTTCAATATTCAAACTGATGACGAAAATCAAGGAGAGAAAATAAAGTAAAAACATGTTATTTCTTGAAAATTTATGAAGAGATACAATTAATGTTGTTTTCTTCAGAAAATCTGAGAAACCAAAGTCAAAAAGCAAACAATTATGTTGGCCATTTTAGACGTCTGTGTGTGTGGGGGGGGGAGGGGGGTTTAAAGTTGTTCTTTTTTGCATGAATTGGTTTTTTTGCTTACAGACAACGAAGAGATGGCTTGTTTGTTTTTCTCAAAGATTTTTAAAAGTTAAAACTCTTTTGGAATCACTTTTTTTTTAACATTGTAATATCAATCCGTGTACAACACATTAGACTCTCTCAGCAGTGTATCATGATTGTAGTCAGTCTGATAACAGTGCAGGTTGTAGTCGATTCTTGCTACAGTCTAACTACCTTTGGCTTTCTATCCGGCTATTTCCAATTGTCTGTCTGTGTTACACTTATACGGTTCTGAGATATTATGTTTAGTATAGCGAAAATATTCATTCAGACATTTATAAAACACAAAATATAATCGAGCAAAGAATAGCCTTTTCGATAATCTCCTCTTCTGGCTCTACAATTATATATGCATATGTTTATATACATAGAATATCCTAGAATAGTAGTCAATAAGAATATCAGTGTTTTTTAAATAATATCAACTTGTAAAGTAAGATCAATGGAATTACAGTTCATTGAAGATGCTTAAATTATAATTATAATAATAATAAAGAAATAACAGTAAATAGAGTATCACCTAAATTAGGGAAATTTCTACAAAAAACTGAGGATCATTCGAACCTAGATGGCTAAGATAAGGATAATGTCTGAACTAGCTTCTTTTGAACACACAAATTAGGCTTCTTAATGTGGATCCCAACGGCCAGCCTCAACAATATTTAGTGATCGAACTAATAAGGCGAAGTTAAGACTAGTTGATATTCGGTGAATGACTCTGAAAGCCTGGTTAACATCAATCTTGTGTTCTGTATCCACAAAATAAGATGGAATAGCGGTACGAATAGATTTGGTTTGTCCTTTATTCAACCACTATGGAGAGTGATATTCGGAAATCCGACGATAAACACACCTAATTTTCTGGCCTATGCAACTGGCTCCACAGGAGCAGTCAAATTGATAGATACATATAAGAGAGACAAAACTAGGCAGTTTATATCTAACTAGCGAACGCAAAATAGGGGTAGTTTTGAAGACACAGAGTAATTCGGCAGTAAGAAATGCTCTTTTTATCGCATTTCTAAGGTGCTGTGTTATCCTCAACGAACTGCATTTCTAAGAATAAGACCTTTTTTGGCACTTTTGGTATCTTGAGTTGCTTTGATTTTCGATTCATATTCTTATCAATAAACTTTTCTGGATAACCATTTTCACTTAGCAACCGTTTAATATTATTAAGTTCCTCATCAAGACATTCCTCCGAGCAAATTACTCTTGCTCTGTGAACCAAGCACTTTATCAGATTGTGTTTGTATTTCAAGGGCATGAAGCTGAAAAAATGAGTATACTGACCAGCTGATGTAGGTTTTCTTTTTTATATACGCTTCTTCTTATTGTGCCATCCTCTTTTCTGGTCATAAGGACGTCTAAAAATGAAATACCAGAGGCTTTTTTTTCTCATTAGTAAAATTTATTGCAGGATGTACCTCAATAAATTTATCCAGGATGTTCTTTGCTTCCTCTTCACTTTTCATAATCAAAAATGTATCATCCATGTACCGGAAATGGAATTTAAGTTCATTAATGACATGTTTTAAAGGCCCATTTTCTAGTTTTGCAAGGGAAATGTCGGCTAGAATGGGTCCTATTGTCAACCCCATTGCCACACCATCGATCTCTCTATATAGTTCCTTATTCAATAAAAAGTGGATATTCATTGTGCATTTCAACAGGAAGCTCTTTCATAAAAGGTAAAGAAATGCCAAAATCGATGTTTCGTCTTATGAGTTCTTAGCATATAAATCCCACTGTTTCCATAAGTGATACATTGGTGAATAAGGAAGATACGTCAAATGATATCAGAAATCTATTGTCAACATTTAAATCTTTTATCCTTTCAACAAATCCAACAGTATCCTTTACTCTGTATTCCATTGATCTTATTTAATGAATAGGTAGTATTTAGAAAACACTAATATTGTTATTGACTACTGATCTAGAATATTCTATTTATGTAAACATGCATATATAATTGTAGAGCCAGAAGAGGAGATTATCGCAAAGGATACTCTTTGCTCAATTATTTTGTGTTTTATATAATGTTTAAGTAATTAAAGTATAATTTTAGAAGTCTATACTATCAGTAGAATATTTGGGAACTGTAAAGTCTATCCGGATGATGAAATTACTCTTGAAAAATGATACTAGTAGTTTGATGATGATATTAGAAGGCTGAAGGAAGTCTTGCCTGTCCCAGGTTTCGTGCTAGTTGGCACTCACAAGTCTGCAAGGTGTATTTCAGAAGAGATGCAATTTCCTTCAAGGTTGCATATGTGCCTAGCTAAATGACTGGTGAGTGCCAACTAGCACGAAACCTAGGTCAGCAAAGCTTCCTGCCAACTGCCTCCAGCCACCTAATATCATCAAACTAATGTGCATTGTGATGGCGAGCTAACTAGAATGGTGGTCACATTGCAAATCCGACTGATAGAATTCAGTCTGAACCAAAGAAAGGACTAGACATATTACACTAGTTACTAGTGTCTAATCAAACCAGTTTAACAACTGAAAAGACTTTCAACTGTTAGGTTACAGGAATTCGACTTCCCATGAATTGACATCAGTTAGAAAACCACTGAAGGCTAGGGATTGCTCTCCTTCCCTAGTTTGTGACTCTTCAGTTGTACACACACATAACCTTTCTGGATATCGAACCCATGCCCTTCAGGTGATGAGGGGAGCCTATTGGCCATATACCACTAGATTGGAATCAGTCGACTCATCAATTCTAACTTCTACCACTTTAAAATATAGAGCGTAAACCAGAACTTGAAGATTAATCCACTTCTCCCTAGTGACTGACTACAGGATGGAGGGGCTTGGAGTTCTATTGAGAAGTCGTGACCAGTAGGATACAACATGTCAGGTGTGAGGACAATTACTCGTCGATAACACTGCCTGGTATTGTTACTGTATACCACCAAAAATCATAATTTTATCACTTTATATTTTCACTGAGAATTGCCTGTACAGAAGTGACTACTTCTTCTTCTTCTTTCCTTGTAAACACCATTTTACTTGCTGTTTTAAACTGAATTTCATCCCGCTTTGGCTTCCATTTTTCGTTTTCTTTTTTTTTTAATAGATCCGTGTTAAAGTTGTTGAAGCACGTCAACTACAAGGTGCCAATATCTCACCAATATGTAAAGTAACCTGTTGGAAAGAAAGCAAAGATACACGTGTACGCAGTTGTACGAATTCACCATTTTGGGATCAAATCTTCTTCTTCAATTATTTTAATTCAGCTGCTGAACTATTAGATCAACAACTTGTTTTCACTGTATACGATTCACGTCGACTTCGACGAGATTCATTGATTGGTTCATTTAAATTTGATTTATCACTTGTTTATGAATCTGAACGTCATTCAATGATTAATAAATGGTTATTATTGTGTAATCCAGAAGATCCAATGTCTGGTGCAAGAGGTTATTTGAAAATATCAGTTGTTATCCTAGAACCTGGTGATGAAGCACCTGTAAGTATTACATATATAAACCTTTTGTTTTATTGTGTTCTCTTTGGATCCTTCTTCAAGGCTTTGGTATTAATTTAAGTGCCATATCTAAAACTATCTTATAGGAAATTGTATTTCAAATATGTAGCTGACTTCATAGATTAGTTTTATTCATTACTTCTAATTATTACTAACTACTGGAGTGCCAAACAGTGTACACATCATCACGTTGCTCCAACTAAAAGCCAAGGGCCTTATAGATAAATATCATATTTCGGTTTAGCTAATGTGTACTGCATAGGGATTTCTCAATCCTGATGATTGATCTTGACAACTAGTAACTGTTGGTTTATTGACACAATACTCAGCAACAACAAACATTTATGTGTCATCCAAAATGAGCTCCACCTATTGTGTGTATGTGTGTGAGGGCTAGTGATACTACTGCCTGGCTGATGAAATCTTCTTAGGTGGAGCAGGATTCGAACCTCGTGAATTACTATAATAAATTCTATAATAACCATAGCAGAAGCTTACAGGCGATTTAAGCGTTAGTTACACCGTTGTCAAACCTTGCTTATATGACTGTGGATAGTTTTCCATACTCATGGTGGATGTATAGAGGTTAATTTTATGCTAAACTGTTTGACAGGGAAAGCGATTTCATTAAATTCGGTTGGTGCTAGGTTCATTTCTAGTGACCTGTGTCGCTCACTATACGGTTACTATGCATGCTACTCTTACCTATAATAAAGCGTCTATCCAATCACGTATGCGGGAAGGGCCCTATTCGGCTTGCCCATGCATTGCATAATTGGCTGACGCTGTCGTTGACTGGAGTAACTATGTATACCTATGCATTATCATTTGTACTTTTTTTATTCCTCAACGTTCGCAGTGGAACATAGGGCTTCACACTAGAGTATAATTCCATTATGGGTCAAATTCGTTTTGATAAAGTCTCACAGTGTTATACAGTAATGTTTACTGATGATGTTTCGAGCACAGTTTATTGCTCATAATCATTGCTCACCTTGATATGATTATGAGCGTTAAATTGCGCTCGAAACGTCATCAGTAAACATTACTGCATAACACTGTGAGACTTTATCAAAACAAATTTTACCCATAATGGAAATTCAGACTAGAGGCTTGAAGTTTCTGTAGTAGTGGTGATTATTTTTACAGGATGGAGTTGCTAGCGTCATGCCTAACTTTCCCTCTTTGCCAGTTCTATTACTAGCTAGGCGAGGGAAAGGAGTGCACCGGACCATGTGCATATTTGGCGAGCGTCTTAACCACTGTGCCACTGAAGTACTAACAGTGCAAATGGTTCATCAAGGGAGACACCTCACAAGTGGTTGCCTCAAATGATGATACTGCATACCTGTCTCTTCTCGCAAAAGGCAAGGATAAATATGTGTTCAGTCCTCCTAAAAGAAGTTTATAAATTCCCATTCATTGGAAGCATCATTATTTGAATAAACCGTTTGTTCCTGCCAGCAGTCATATGCTTGTCTTGTAGATTAAACCATACATGTCTAAGTACACACCTTAAACCGATGAAACCACGAACAGCCCTTTAAATCAGTTACGGTTCCTTAGATCATATATACTACATAGAGAACTGTTGTAGTTCTAAAGCTAATATGTAAAGCTATGCCCTAACCCACAAGGGCGAGGACTACTTCATCATACTAATCCAATCCACTTTCTGCCAACTTGTTCTTTCAGAAGAAGCATCAAAGATAGGAATCCAAGTAAACTTAGAGAAAACAGATGTGATGGAGATTCCTGGGCAACACCAACAATAACAACAGACAACAATCAGAATAAATGAGAGAAATCTGAAAGAAGCAACCCTCCTTCACCTACTAACTACCTGGGAAGCATCGTTTCAACAACAGGCAGACGGCACTGATGAAGATATCAAAGCTAGGATCATGAGAGCAAGGCAGGCTTTCATTTCTCTCAAGTTTGTGTGGAGATCAACAGCATTACTCAGCATGAAAATGGAAATAAGATCCGGATTTTCAACTCGAATGTGAAGTCAGTGCTACTATACAGATCAGAGACCTGATGAGTCAAGAAGGGCATTTCTAACAAACTACAAACAACGGCTGTCTTCGCTCTATGCCACTCAAGGTCAGATGATCGAGTAGAAAAGATCAGCAACACGGATCCCTGGCAATGAGAGAACCAACCCACCAGGAACCGATTGTGCAGCAAATATGCAGGAAGAAATGGAAGTGGATTGGTCATACTCTGAGAGAGAAAACCGTCAAATGACATCACACGATAGGCCATCGCTCGAGTGGAACTCAAATAAGAAGCGGTGAGTTGGTAGTCAGGGCGGGGGTGAGGTGACATGAAGGAGGTGATGAGAAAAGGAGATGAAATCATGTGGTCATACGTTGTCAGAGAACCGAACACAAATGGAGATGTGCAGCTGAAGCCCTATGTTCCTTTAATAATTAAAGGAAATAATAATAATAGTGGGAATGGGTCTTTTTAATAATAAAAATAGCAACTTTATTCTGATAATTGTGCTTAAATATTATACAGAATGCTCAGAGTAATTTCTTTCAAAATATCTGCTCCTTGCATGGAATCTTCAAGTGAACTATTCAACGACAGTGTATGTGATGTGACGCAACATCATTTTAGCCCGAAACAACAGTCACTTCCCTACAGCATTTTTGTTTTCTTCATTTTCTTCTTGAAGTACACAACGTGAGCTCACATAACAGGGGAAAGTGGGTGTATTATACTGAAGAGAAATTTAAGTAGCTCTGGGATTCAAGTAGACCGTCAGTAGTGATAGTTGTCTTTTATGATAGTAATCCCCTGACAATAAATATCCCTTTAAGTTCTCCTCTTCTTCTTCTTCTACTTATTCTTCTTCAGAGTATGAAAGTCACTGAAGCAGATGAAAAAGAAGATATCGAAGGGTAAGTTTAAAAAAAAAGACAATCAGTTTATTTTATGTTACAATCTATCGATTAATTAATTAATTAATTAATTAATTATCCAGTCATTCAATGAATCAATCGATTGAATGATCAACTAATTCCTACGTTTAGCTGGGGGTACTTCAAAAATCGTGAGATTTTGATACACCTTTGACCTTACAAAGTTGTTTTGAAAGATGTGAAAAATGTAATAAAACGTGGATTAATATTATTACTGACTAGATATAGTTGTATCACTTTGAATAAAGATGATAACGATGACCATCGTACATGAAAGTTTAAACAATGTCTTGTTAATATAAAGACGATTTGTTGATAATTCTCGCACTACCCACACACATACCTGTCCACAAACACATGTAATTACTAAAGTATGTTTCACTGAGAATCAGGTAATTTGCAAATAAATGGCTGAGGGTGAAAAAAAAAATTTGCTTGTTATGTGAACATCATTCATCTTTAATTTGAACTGTAGGGTCTCATAGTCCTGCAGTCTTGTGGCTGCTTACTGATAAAAATATCTCAAGTGTAAATAAAGCATTAGTTTATGGTGTAGATTACCAAAAAATCAATTGATTTGCTAAATCGCTAGACTATCCCAAATGTGTCATATGAAAGAAATAAAACTTAGGTGGGTAGACATTAACTACCTTTAAAACAATGGCCTCTATGCTGTGTAGATGGTAAATTATATTTTGATAACAGCTAAAGTAGATGTATTGTTATCTCTCTTATTTGGTTTCAGGGATTGTCACTGTTTTCTGACCTTCAATGAGTACTTTGAACTTGACCTAAGTCTATTTTCTCACCTCTTAACTCTTAATTAATTTCATATATATATATATATTCCTATGATAAGTCCGTGTGTGTGTGTGATCAGATTGCTCAAAGTGTGTTGCGCAAATACACATTACACGATTCAGACAAATTACGTCTTCTTATTGCTTTATCTTATTTGATAAAGGGAACTAATTGTTGTAAATGTTAAAACTCTTGGTAGAATATATAGATTTCTGGAAAATATTCACTCTAAGTAAACATGAAAAATAAGGAAATGCTTTTATCCCTCATATTCAGAAATATTAAACTGTCATTTGATAAGTAGGTTGCTTTGTATTTCCCTTTGATTGACTTTTCAACTGGGTAGAATCTTCTGTCTACGTTGTACATGTCGTATCCCGGTCACATTGTGAACACTATCACTTAGTAGGGATGCAGGTACATCCAGCTAATTTTTTACCGAAATCTCATCCCGGCGTTCACTGTCAACCGTTATCAACCTCCTCTATCTGTCACCATGGTTCTCCATAAGCTCTCACTTCTTCCTAATGCTATTACCTAAATGTCGCTATCGGACGCCTGACTCACCGTTTCACATTCGGGTTCCATTCGAAGGCCTGACGCGAGAATTAAGTGTTACATTCAAATCCATGGCACTGTACATCATTTGAAATTAACATATCATTCTATAAGTATTGGTACAAATGTCCTTATTAAAGCTACGAAACTTTCTACACAAAATTCATGAGTAAGCAATTGAACCTTTAATTATTATATAAGCATATGAACCGGTAAACTCTTCATCTGTGTTTTTCTTGCCTTTCCTCATCACTTTCGCACCTTCCACATCCTACAGAAATCTTCTACGTCCAGCTGGTGTACAATTGAGGCCAGCAATTTTTAAAATACTACTATATATGGCTGAAGATTTACCAAGAAGTAGGTTGCATTGTTTATGTTTTTGTTTTCTTTTTGTTGACTTCAAAAGCACATAAACTGGTCAATCTAAATTGGCTAAAGTGAAAAACTGCTACTTTGATGCAGCCATCCTACCACATATATGACATTCACATAAATTAAATTACAGTTGTTAAAAGTCTTAGTTTGATTATTCAGAAATTATCTCACTACTTATGCTATTCAGTAGTTCAATTTTATAATTCATCAGTTTTATACAGACTGTTGGACTTTAATTTAGATTTAAAGATTGATTTTTACAGGAAATATTAATGGTTACGGATGCGTTACTATTTATGGAAAACGGAGAGACTGTTTCGTCCTAATTTCGCACTGTCCTGCATTGAGAACCCACGATCCAACCAGAGGTGGCACTCAATATCTTCAACTTTCAAGGCTATCAAGTACTCCTGAAAACTCTTGGGGTAGAACAAAACAACTTTTCAGGGCTCTTTCATTTTTAATAATCCTCTAATTGAGCATGGTTTGTCGTGAAGTCTGCAGTTGTCACAACCCCAACACTTTTATTTTGAATCTCTACAGATTGGGTTCTTAATAATATTCTAATAGTTGTATTGGTAACATATTTTCCTAAAGTCTAATTCATGTTTGGTCTCCTACCTCCTTTCTTACTATAAAGACTGATGTTCCGACAATTTTGAGTTTCCTTGAATTTGTATTACTTATGGTAAAAAGTTCTTATAGTTTGTTACGATGAAATTGTCTACAATATCCTGTTCATTATTTTAACCTGACTCAACGTAAGCATACCGGCGTTTAGATCCTCCAGGAAGTGAAGAAAACAGCTGATGAGTACCCAGATCATCTATCAAGCTTTCAAACTACACTACTTAAATGAATGGTTTCTGACCATTCAAATAATCAACTGCGTGCGTTATTTTGCTGCTGCTATTTAGTTATGAAAATTGAGGGATCCTGTCATCACAGATAATACTACTACGGTCGGCTTTGGGTAGAATTTTCATGGAAGGCTACTATCTGATGATAACGATGGGACTACTACACATCTATGGTTAAATCTAAGATTTTCAGAAGTTAATAATCACAATTGCTGGGCTCCTTTCAATTCGAATGATAATGTGCTGGCAGCTATGAATTATAACAACTCTTTAATGCTACGAAAATCACTACTTGCTGGAGTGTCTACACTCTTCAATTGTTAAAATCCATTCTTGTGAAAAATTTCCGGAGATTTAGCACAAAAGCTAAAATTGATTTCCATTTCCGTATTTATCAATACACAGAAAATATTTTGGAATTTTGGTGAACCTAATCTACCTACTTGAGAAAATTTAAGTAGCTCACATTTATTTTAGGAATTTATTTGAAATTCATTGTGTTTCTTGTTGTCTCGTGTTCTCAGTGGATTCTGATGCATTTAAAGGAATCAAGAATTTAATTAGTAAATCAGATGAGGAAAAAGAATTTGTTGATCCTTACGCAATGGTTTCATTTGCTGGAAAATCTGTAAGTTATTTTATTTTGTCGTTCTGCTTTTCAGTTGTCCAGAAAATCCTCAAGTTTAAAATTGTTCAAAGCTTTTTAGCTTTTGATATTTAGTTGTAGATATTTCACAACTAGGCTCAGTGAGTAACTGCGAGTTTGAATGCATATATCATTTTGTCCTAGCCTAGTAGCTGAACGATTACCAGGTTCACCTCATCACCTGGAAGTTGTGGTAGGCTCATGGATCCCGAAAAACCTGCTCAGAATCTTCCAGTTGACGTTGGCTCCTAGTCAGATGCCTAACGAAATTATTCAGAGTTCCCAGAAACTTAAAAATTGAACGCAGTCATGATTCGATTCTGTAGACATTACAATTATTACACTAATTTTGTATTCCACCGAGTAGTAACTGTCTACGTTTCAGTGTAGAACTCGCAGACATTCTGCGGTTCATACTATCATATTCTATGCAGTACAAAAGGAGAGAGAAAAGAAAAGAAATTCGAAAGAACCACAATAGGCAGGGGTGTACTGCAGAGAGAGCGAGAGAATAAACACATAGACAAATGTGAGGAATTAATGAATTTGAGAGGCCCCGAAAATTGAATACATCTGCGCCAGTCACAGTGATAACGAGCCGTGTAACCAGCGATTATTTTTTAGCATTTTGACTACCACAACGAGGAAGTCTACACCACCTTATGTTGCTCAAGCTCACAGCGAAAGACTCTGTGGAAAGATGCCAAGTTTTGATTTAAATACTCCTATCTCTTTTCTAAACGTCATCAGGGAGGGACGCATGTATATGGCGGTAAACTATGAAGCCACGTGGTACTTAATCGCCCCTGGCAGTTGCGGCAGTATAAATTCATCAGAATAAAATTAGGGCACCCAACATATTAGATAGGCCTTGAAAAGTAGTTTTTCATCTGGAATGCAATTTTTTGCTTGCATGGACTGTAGTATTTGTCATCTCCTTCATTACATTTACACTTATTCAAGTGGCATACATAGTTATTACTTCAAAATAGTGTCAATCGCAGCTGAGTAGCGAAGTTTCTGGCCCTATTTTCTGTATAAAAGTTTGTTTTAAAATCTAAAACTCTAGAAAAGAGATTCCGCCACGTTGAAAGGTCCTGAAAAGCATGAAATTTAACTCTATATGAGGCATTCTGTCAACTGAATTCTAACACACAATGCTTCAGACTAGTTGGTGAATTAAAGTCATCTTAGGTAGCTTTTTAACTGATAGACTGAAGAAGTTGATTTCACCGTGAATGCGTAAGTAGGATGCATGTATTTGTAGAGAAGATTGTTACGACAGAAGACAAGGGTTAGGCGACAGATCGTTTATTGAGGAAATCAACAGATATTTAAAGATTTCCATGTACATTATTATTCATTATTATTACCAGAGAAATAGCGTCTTCTAAGTGGTTGTTTTCTCTCTGAAAGTTATTCTGTCATCTCTTTGTGGCCATTTCTTTGAAGGTTAGACTACATACCTGCTAATCGTATCCGCCCACGCGAAGTCTGTTGTGATTGGTTGTTGAGTTAGTCTTTGTTCTTGTCCTTTTCTCATGACTAAGATATGGGACATAAACACTGACATGAACTGCTGTCTATCAATTTTGACTAGCAGACAGCTCTCACCACATGATGAGAAATAACTTCTGTCTTGTGAAGTTTAGGTAAATTACTCAATTATAGCACGACACAATAGTGACAATAAAGATAAAAATGATAGTAGAAATAGAAAAATAATATCTATCCAGTGTTTTCAAGTATTGGTTTTGTTGGGATTTTGTTCGATTGGTCAGAGAACCATTGCAAAACCAGCACTAGAGTACTGGCCAGCTACATCATCCTAGTTTGGGACTCCTCATCTGTATGCACCCACCGGGATTCTAGTCGAGGACCTTATGGTTTTAAGGTAAGCTCGTATACCATTCAGTCACTGGGATCCAATTCAGTGGCTCATGACATCGACTTCAAACCAGGAGGACCTGGGTTCAAACCCTGGTGAATGCGTACTGCTGAGTATTATCCAATGACACTGGTAAAGAAACCTATTCCGATTTGGAGGTGAACACATGGATGGGGTTGAAAATGCTTTTATGGAGAATGCCTCAGCTATGCTTAGGATGGTCGAAAAGAGTATAAACCTAGATAATTAAGGTATCCCCATGTGTAGAATTGTATGGATTAAATATTCTTGTCAGTCTTCTACTCGGTATCCACTAAGTATGCCAATATAGAACTGCTGATTGACTTTATGATTCCATCTTCTCATTGTGTTGCACATTAGTCAAGGAGGCGATAGTGAGCTTTTCAAATCATTCGGATTATGTAACTGATAGTTAAATTTATTCTTGTTATTATTGTTGTTGTTATCCTGACCACCTTAATTTTTTTTCATAACAGCTTGATTCCACACCGAATTTTTGGTACTAGTATGGAATTTTCAGCATGTGATATGGGTAGCCCAAGTTTTGCAGGTCGACCATAGATATCAGGTGTGCGTCGGCAGGCGATCGAACCTCGGACCATGTGCATGGTCGGCGAAAGTCCTAAACAGCGTGCCACCGACGCACTGTCTACTAATTCATATACCTGTGAAGAGTAATAAGAAACTACTCCAAACTAATATTTTGCTTGAATTGTCTTCTGTAATTATCATAATCGAAGTATTTTGAAGCTGATTTCATCACTCTTCTTTGCTCTCTCTCTCTTTTCTTTTTTACATAAACCAGATTAAATCAAGTACAAAATATGGTACAGATCATCCTGAATGGAATGAAGAAATTACCATGAATATACAGGTTAGTTAGCTGGACATTCTCCATCTGCATTTTCCTCGGTATATTTGTCGGTTAGCAAGTTTTTGGTTGATTTTTTGTCAGAATTCCTTAGTGATATTTCTTTCTGGCCATCTGATCTTCAATGGGAAGCCGAGGCAGCTGTTTTTGCAGTATGCTTCTGGGAAGGCTTGCAGTGACGTGCTGAGTCTTTGAACTAATATGGTGATACTAACTGACTTGAAATTAGTGTTGAAAATTGAAATCTTGTCCTTTATGCTGAGTTAAGCAGGTTTCCACAATTATTTCATATTAATATGTATGTTTATCTTCTTTTTCCAATGCTACTCTTCATGTCCTCATCCGTCCCACCGTCTGTAGTTGAGACAATGCGGCTAAAACAAGTGAAAGAAGTAATCTCTTTCAAATTTCTCTCGTCGATAGTGATTTTTGCCTATCGCTGTTAGCTAGGTATCCTCATCACCTGTTTCTTCTTTACTTTCACTTAAATGCCTGTCGTCTCTTATTGAATTGAATTTTCGATTTTCCCGTCGATTGATTGGACCGAAGTGCTCGGTCTCAGGTTGACATGTCGGCTTCTTGTGCAGATGCTTCGACGATGCCCGGGCATTTAGTTAGTATACAATTGGTGGATGGTGGCTAGCAGTGGAATCCAGGATGCGCATTTCGTCCTATTTGGGACTCGTCAGCTGGATGTACCTGCATTTCTCAGTGAGTGATGATGTTCCCACCGAGGCTCGAACCCAGTACCCATAGTCAACCTGAGACCGAGCACTTCGGTCCAATCAATCGACGGGAAAATCAAAAATTCAATTCAATAATTAATCTGACCCGTTGCACAAGAGGTGGCTCTCGTGGCCCAAGTGGTCTAGTGGATAACGCTTTGGCGTCTGAAACTATGGGCACTGGGTTCGAGCCTCGGTGGGAACATCATCACTCACTGAGAAATGCAGGTACATCCAGCTGACGAGTCCCAAATAGGACGAAATGCGCATCCTGGATTCCACTGCTAGCCACCATCCACCAATTGTATACTAGCCTGTCGTCTCTGTCTGCATTTTCTACCAACTTATTGTCTTTCGCTTGTAGTTCTTCAAATCTCTGTGATATTTGGTGAAAATCATCCTCGAAGTCCATATCTTCCAAAGCCTTCTTATAGGCTTCTATCTTCTAATTCCCCACAGTCAGCCACATATTCCAGTCCACCACAATTAGTAATATCATCGTTGATAGTCGACAGTTTCGTCTCACTCTTGTATTCACTTCATAGGTATCATTGATGTTTCCGTTGTGGATCACTTGACATGTGATATTGTCATATAGTTGTTGAATAAGGTTGATAAAGATTTCGCGGAATTATAATCCGTAGTGTTGAAGTAGTTTTCAAATTACTTTACGATCAATGCTGTTGAAAACCTATTCAAAGTTAATAAAGTTGAGACAAATGCTTGACTGCTATTCTATGCTCTTTTTGACGATGATGATGATGATGCGCAGTTTTGGATTTGGATTCGCACACTATTTTCTTTTCCCAGATGCAGCTTATCTTGCGAATGAGTTTTGCATTGAAAGTACCTTTTAGTCTCTCCAGGACAATGTCATTCAACATTTTGCTAGATGTGATGGAGACGATTTGTAGCTCAGGTGGATGATTTTGATGGGGTTGTGTTCTCTGAGCTGGATAGTGGTTTATTTACGAAGCTTTCATCGCCCTACTAGGTGATATCTTCATCGCATACTTCAGTTTGAAGTGAGCTTTTTTAGATTTCTCCACGAGTTTATTAATCATCTCTGCTGGTGATCCAGGGCTTGATTGGTTGTTATTGTGTGTTTTCACACCCTGTCGGCTACTTGACTTGAACTTTGACCCTTTGTGTATGAGGTTTCTTTCTTATCGATTGATAAATTTTGTCTACCTCGATGTGTCTATTGATTGATGATTCACTGTAATACCTGGCTTCTAAAAATTCTCTAGCATTCTTGGTGTTCTCTCTGTCTAATATTTGAACGTTGGTTGTCTCAGTCGAAATGATGTCCGTGATTGTCTGTATGTAGTGATATGAGGGGGTGGATATCATGTCTTTTGACGGCTAGCTTATGTTCGTGGATACGAAGACGAAGGGGATATCCTCTTCGTAGGTGCTGAAGATGTCGCCTAGTAGGGCGATGAAAGATTCGCAAGTTAACTACCCAGCTCATCCAAAACATTTTGCTTGGCATAGACAGGAGTATGATTTCAAGGCATTCACCTCAATAACATTATTTTTTCAAACTTCCTAAGATATATATATATGCACGTATGAGCATGCATTTCTCATGTAAAGAGTGGTTTTAATACTATTTGGTTATTATGGTAATGGAGATTGACTGGGAGAAGTTAGTCTGTTGAAAAACGTGTATGTTAAGGCCAAGGGCGGTCTATTTTCACTTTAAACCATACATGAATTCTGATAACTGACCTAATGAAAAACCATCTACTGTTGTCTCTCTAAAAATCGATACTTTACTAAGAGACCGTTTGTGACTGATATAATCTATTTTTCAATCTGACTATACTCCAGTCACTGCCTTAATACTATGTGATCAGGTCACTTCGAATCAGTAAGAAAAATAATTAGCCGAATAATAGGATTTTTAAGAATTATACTTCTTGAAATAATCAACTAGATCTTTTAGCTCAGTCTTTAAAATAAATGATTTAGAGACCCAACTTCCCATATTAATACTAACCACTGACTACATGTCTCCCTTAGTTACTGGAGGAACATAGAGCATCGTCCGCACGTCTCCATTGCGTTCGGTTCTCTGACAACGTTTTCACCTGGCTCCAAGTATGCCCAAATGCTTTCACCTTCTCCTCCATGTCACCCCACCCTCGCACTGACGACCAACTCACCGCTTTCCGTTCAGGTCTCACTCAAGCAATGGCCTGACATGTGAAGTCACTTGATGGTTTGTTTTCTCAGAGTATGGCTAACTCACCTCCATTTCTTCCAACATATTTGTTGCAAATTTGGTTCCTGGTGGGTTGGTTCGCTCATTGTCAGGGATCCCTGTCGCTGATCATTTCTGTTCGGCCATCTGGTCTTGACTGGTATCGAGTGAAGACAACTGTTGATGAAGGTCCAAATGGAACATAAAGCCTCAACAAAACACCTCCACTTTGTCCTCTTCACTATAATCCACTTCACCTAGTCCCACGATTGTTCATAGGCCTTCATATCCTGCTCACATGATCTTCTCCATGTCTGTCTCCGAGAAACACCCAGCTTGTTGCTTATCATTTGAGTTCCACTCGACGACCTGGCGCGAGATATCACCAAATGGTCTCCTCAGCATCCGTCCCGTCCACCTCCATTTCCCTCAACAAAGCTGTTAAGCAATAGGTTTACTTACTTTCCAGAATTTATCGATGCTAATTCTTCCTGGTCATTTGCTCTGCAATGTTGTGGAATGAAGGCAGCTATTGATAAAACTCTACAGTCTGTTTGAAATGCTTTGTGTGACGCACAGTGAAATTTTCTGACTCGTACATAATTACTAACTGACTTCAGCTGGTGATGAGAATCCAAATTTTGTTGTTTATGCTGTGTAGTGAAAAGAAGCTTTCCAAACTCATTTCAGAGTGATGAAGGTCTGTCTTGCCTTGCTTATATACATTTGCTCTGAAATCTTTATCTGTGTTATCGTCTGTTGTTATCACAATGCTGCACAGCTAGATAAGTGAAAGGAGTAACTTCTTCCTTTATTTCTCCCGTCAATAGCAACTAGTGATTTTTGTTGTTGTTGTTGTTGATGGTGGTGGTGGTGGTAGTGGTTGGTTATCATCACCACCTCTGTCTTCCCCATGTTCACTTGAAGGTATGTCTTCTCTGCCTGCTTCTTCCGACGGTTTATTGATTTTCGCCTTTAAATCTTCGGTTTGTACATGTAGATATATGTCCGCTAATCCAGATAGGTTTCCATTGACAGTGAGTACATCAGTACAGTGAAAGCGAACTGCTTATTTTACCTAATAATCAAATATAACCGTAAGATATATTAAAAATAAAGATCTACTGAAGAGATGTGTTTTGTTCTGGTTTTAAAATTCCATTATTAACTAGAGAAGAGTATATTTATTCAAAATAATCTAATTTTACGGAGCTTATATTTTCTTTTTTTTTATAGTTTCCATCCATGTGCGAGAAACTGAAATTCACCTTTTACGATTGGTAAGCTTTCATTAGTATACAATTTTAGAATACAATTATTATCTTCTTTTACTTGGTCAGCATCTTGTGTATGACATCATACATTTTGATTATATAACCTTGGACATTAAATGTTTATAAACGTGATGATAGTGTAACAACAGAAGATAAGAACCAGTCAACAGATCGTTTATTGAGGAAATCAACAGATATTTATAGATTTTTATGTACATTGTTATTCCTTATTATTATTATTATTATTATTATTATTATTATAGAAACATCGTCTTGTCATTGGTTGTTTTCCTGTTGAATGTTATTCTGTCATTTCTTTGTGGCTGTTTCTTTGAAGGCCAGACCATATATCTGCTGCTCGTATCCGCCCACGCAAAGTTCGCTGTGATCGGCTGTTGAGTTAGTCTTTGTTCTTATCTCATGATCCAGATATAGGACGTAAACCTGGACATGAATGGCTGTCTACCAATTTTGGTAAGCAGACAGCTCTCACCATAACAGTAATGTTGCCTTCTTCAGTAGTATAGGGATATTTAACTGCTCAATTTAGTGAGGTTGATTTGAACTACTACATAATTACTTCACATATTTAAAAACTTGCAAAATATTATACAGCATGTTAAGGTGTTAGTAGAACTCACATAGTTTGGGTTCGATTCCCCCTCCGCAATTGTACTCTTAAAAGCTACCTTATCTAATCACTTGTGAATGGCCTGATAAAACTGGATAGTTAGACGTGAGACTGGCAACCCTGAGCAGTGAAAACAACAATACTACTGCTGATGAAACTTCAGATATCAAACTTCAAAAACCCTTTGTTTCACTCGGTACACAGAGAAATGAACAGCAGTCAGGAATTGATATCATAGCCGTCATATCATATCCGTCGACTTTTGTTTGTACCAAATAGCATATTGTTCAATACACGAGAACCAGCATAGCTTCAAGATATATCGGTCTTCTGTTAACTATTCCTTGTCCCTGATTGACTCAAATTCATATGGGGGACCACATGTTCAAAGCCTAGATAGACTACCAATAAGTGTGAATACCAGTTATTATGTAATGTTAACCATTACGCAAGGCTATTTTTCGTACATCACACCAACACTGAATTAGACAAGTATATTATTCATCAAAAATATTCCCCTTTTTTTCTAAACATACCTAGGGATCGTATTGGTTATGATGATCCTATAGGAACAGGGATAATTTCTATATCACAAATATCAGCTTTTCGTGATGACACTAGCGGTTAGTTGTCGTTGTCTTGTCAATCTCCCTGTGTGCGTGCTTGTGTGTGTATGTATGCGTAAATGAATGTTTGTGTGACTGACTGTATGTATATGTGTATGTGTATGCCTAATCATAAATTACCACTTAACAGCTTAACACTTTATAGTACAGTACAGTGTAATACATTTTGTAACCACCTCTTTGTTGGCTTTGTACTTGGTGGCAAACCTGCTTATGTATATACTATTCACAGTTAGTTAGCTCTCTATGTGCTTACAACATTATCTGTCGCTAAAACTTAATCTTCCTCATCTTTGTGATTTATTTGGGTGACATTTTCTTATGAAATAAAACTTCTATACATATTTAATATCTCCAGTTTTAAATCAAATGGTGCTCTCCGGTTTTTGTGTATATAAGCGGTCTAATTATAACCATTCATTACCGGAAAGCTTCTTATTGGCGGAATTTGTTTTGAAAATTACTGCTCAACCAATCACATCATAGGACACTTCAAGGTCAAATTAAAGCCTCAAATGCCATTGGATAATTTATTATATATATATAGAGAGAGAGATATAGTCTCTAATATGGACATTTCGTATATTTGCTTCTTTATTCCTCATATTATTTCAATAATATTAAGACAAAACTCGGTGGTTATTATTTATCTCACCTGATATTTGTATTAGGGATCGTGGTTCTAAAGATGATGCAATTGGAACAGCTACAATAAGTTTAATTGAAACTTCTTCACAAGGAACTGATGGTATGTATATACACAAATATAATATGTGAACTGTGCATGTGTGTTATGATGGTGGTGGTGGTTTGGAAAATCGGTTATCTTTGATAATATTTATGCTTTTATGTTTGCATGTGCCTGCACAGCTATATAATGAATGCATATATCTGGAAGGAAAATGCTTGATGCAGAACATCTACAGACTTCAGTATTTAATTGGTGGACGGTGACCACTAGCAGTGGAATCCATGATTCACACTTCGTCCTATTTGCGACTCATTATATGGATGTACCTGCACTTCTCAGTGAGTGATGATGTTCCCGCCGAGGCTAGAACCCAGTTTTAAACGCCAAAGCATTATCCACTAGACCACTTGGGCCCTGAGAGCCACCTCTTGTGCAACGGGTCATATTAATTTAATTGAATTGTAGATTTTTCCGTCGATTGATTGGACTGAAGTGCTCTGTCTCAGGTTGACATGTCAGCTTCTTGTGCAGATGTTTCTACGATGTCTGGGCATTTAGTTAGTATTTCATTGGTGGATGGTGACTAGCAATGGAATACAGGGCTTCAGCCACACATCTTTATTGTATTCGGTTCTCTGCCAACATTTTCACTTGGCTCCAGGTCTGACCACATGCTTTCATCTCCTCTTCACATCACCTCCTCCTCCATGTTACCCTTGCACTGACGACCAGCTCGCCCCTTCCCGTTTGGGTTCCACTTGAGGGCCTGATGTATGATGTCACTTGATGGTTTTCCCAGAGTATGGTCAATCCACCTTCATTTCTTTCTGCATATTTGTTGCACAATCGGTTACTGTTGAGTTGGTCCTCTCAATGCCAGAGATCAGTGTTGCTGATCTTTTCGGACCGGCCATCTAATCTTGAGTACTAAGCGAAGAAAGCTGTTGATGAAGATCTGTAGTTTGTTTGATGTGTTCTTCGTGAAGCCACGGCCAAGTCTCTGATCCATAAAGCAACACTGACTTCACATCACAGTTAAAAATCCGGATCTTATTGTTCGTGCTAAGTGCTGTTGATCTCTTTCACACAGACTTGATGGTAATGAAAGCTTGACTTGCTTTTCCGATCCTCGCTTTGATATCCTTATCGGTTCCGTCTGTCTGTAGTTGAAACTATGCTTCCCAGGCTGGTGGGTAAGGGAAGTTGCTTCTTTCAGATTTCCCACATTTATGCTGACTGACTGTTGTCTGTTGCTGTTGGCCAGAAATCCTTATCACCTCTGTTTTCTCTATGTTCACCTGAAGTCCTATCTTCTCTGGATGCTTCTTCTGTCAGCTTGTTGTTTTTCACTTGCATATCTTCCAGTTTGTGTGAAATCAGACATATATGTCATTGGCGAAGTCCAGATCCTCCAAGTGATTTGTGTGGGTTCATTTTATGCCTGTTTCCTCGCTCCCCGCTGTCTTTCTCATTATCTGGTCTAGTGCGATCGGGAAAATCATTGGCGATAGTAAGCAACCAACCCTGTCTTACTCCCATCTTCACTTCGAAGGATTCGGTGAGTTTCCCGTTCTGGATTAGTTGGCATGCAGCATTGTCGTACAACCGTTGGATGAGGTGTATAATTGTTGGTGGCACTCTTTAGTAGAGAAGTAATTGCCAAATCACCTTTTGATGGACGCTGTCGAAGGCCTGTATTTTAAGAGAAGCGGGAAAAAAGGCTAAAGACAGAGACTGCTTAATCAAATAAAAGGAAAAGTAAAGATGTCGAGTTATCTGAACGAAACAGGTCGGGTTTTAACAGTATAATAACAATTTCTTAGTTAAACCTGAAGTGAATGAATCGCATTGTCTAGTAAAAATAATTTGAAAGGACTTCCAGGTGTCCACGTCATCAACCCGTGGCAACAAGATACCTGATGAAAGCACTATTAAGATACTTTGCTCCTCTGAAGCAGAGGTTTCTTTTGGTACATATCCAGGAAATAGGAATTATGCCCTTCTTTCTACACTCCCAAAGTAACTGCTACCGCAGATAGTGTAAATTTGTTAGCACAATAAGAGCTAATATAAAAAGGGTATCTGCCGACCTTTGATTTCATCCAATACCATATTGTTTGATTCAAAAAACGAGCCAAAATGGCTACATGATAAGTTCTCGCTAGCGAAGTATTCAATCTTCTTTTGACTATTCCTATAACACTACCCACTCTCAAATCAAGTTATCTGATCTTACTATTCATAAAAAAGATGTGGTTTTATGTAAAAAAGTTTATAGAATTGCTTTACAGTTATGATTTTTGTCTGCTTGTTACCCGCTGACGATGATTATGGCGATTTGAATGACACTGACTACTCTTTCTGCACAGCTTCATTTTATCCACTTACGCTTATTTATTTACTATTGTTAATTTCTTTATCATAATTTTGCACAGTTTTATTTTCATTTCACAATGATTACACTTCGCGTTTAATGATTTATAAAGATTAATTTCACTCAAAAACTACGTGCAATCCCATACAGGTGGCGATAAGCCACACTTATTATGTGAAAGAAGTTAAGTAATAAAGACGCGAGGTGATGCGTAAGATGCTGAGTGACTAATAAATTAGGTAACAGTCTACTGAGTTCAACTCAAATCATAGAAACAAGAGACAAACAAAGTTACACTATATCAATATCGCTATTACCAGACATCTCCTCAACACGGGTCATGAGGTGGAAATCGCGAAATTCTTTAAAATTATCAATAGACAAAGGAGGAGCTCGATTCTCCTCAAGTTTGTCGAGGCAATTTCTACCAAACGCTTGAAATCAGATTTGTGTTCAGAAAGAGGCAGTTATTAATTAGTCTTTCCCTGCCCTGGTAGCTGGATGTCTTTATTCTCTCTCTCAATGGATTACGTAATCTTTGGCTTTAAACTCACCCCTTTGATATAGTGTAATTTTGCTTGTCTGTTGTTTTCTATGATTTGAGTTGAACTCAGTACATTGTTACCTAATTTATTAGTCACCCAGCATCCTACGCATATCTCGTGTTTGTTATGTAACTCCCTTGCCACTATATGCTTCCATTTATTACCTGAAAGTTGTTGATACTACCTGGCTGGTTAAAGCTTAAGTAGATGGTGGAGCTGGAAGCTAAAAGCTTCATTCTTTGAACCACAGATGCACCATTGTTTCTTTAATATTTAATTTTTCTGAAATTCTGCTTATCTTATTATGCAACTTTCATGAGGAACCGATACCAGGTAGGAAAATACTGATAACCAAGGAGTATTCGATAAATATATCGTCATGGTTTATAACACTTAAGTTGTGTCCATTAATTATCGTACTGTGAGCGAGTGGAAATGAAAACGAAGATTATATTGTAACAACAGAAGACAAGGGCCAGGCAACAGATCGTTTATTAAGGAAATCAATACATATTTATAGATTTTCATGTACATTAATGTAGATTATTGTAGGCAGAAAAACACAGTTTTCTGATTGGTTGTTTCACACTGAAAGTTTATCTTTCATCTCTTTGTGGCTGTTTCTTGAATGTCAGATCATCTATACGCTAACTGCATCTACCTACGCAGTCTGCTGTGGTTGGTTGTCGAATCAATCTTTGTTCTTATTTTCCTCACGGCCAATATTGGGGACGTAAACATTGACGTAAATTACTGTCTACCAATTTGGCTAGCAGCCAGCTGTCACCACAATATGACACATAGCGCTAATATTGGCTCCTTATTAAAACCAATCCAAAATAAGATTTACAGGGCTTATGGGGATTTGGATTAATTCCAGTGTAGATTTCATTGAAATCACCAACCTACTGGATGGTGATGTCCTGAAGTCGCAATAAGCATTTAAGAAGTGTGAGGTCCATCGTGTCAATATGAAGTGGGTGGTCATCAATGGCATTCGTTAACAGTATCTCTGTTTCACGAAATAACATAAGTTGGAATTCACGGATCGTTGAATTTCTACCAGGTGGCTGACTTCGTAAACTTAACGTCCTGGGTTCAACACCTGGTATGAGTTATGGATGAATATTGTTGAAGAGTACTGAGCGAGGATGAAATAGCCTTTTCAGTACTCCTTGGAATCTAATGCTTTCCTAACTGATATTTGGTACTTGACGAAGGTAATAATGAAAGACATAAAAACTAGCCAAAAGTTTCTACACAAACTATCACTGAAAGTTTGTTCATTCAAAAATAATTCCCTTGAAAACATAAAGATCATGGAAACGAATTCTCACCTTAGGTATATTAAAGTCATTTCAAAAGTTCGTTTAATTATTACTTAAAC